GAATATGAAATGATTAACATACTGCTTCTCTCTTGAATAATAAATATTATTTTATCAAAGCGAATACGATAAAATTAGGATGAAACATTTCAAAAGAAATGAAACTTTGGAAGTAGTATACGTATTAATAAAGTACAGAGAATTTAACCATTATTTTCTGCATCTAATTTGAAAAAAAATTCCACTTAATGTACTTTAATATTACAGTGTAGAAATAAAAGAAAAAATGAATTATTAAAAAATGTAAAAATTATTCGTTCTTTAAATTATAAAGTAGCTTATGTACTAGCCTGTTGTATGTACATAGAATTGGTTGTGAGTTATTAATATCGACTAGTTAATTATTTCTAATTATATTAAAAAAGCTCATGAAAAAATATAAAATAGGATATTACAAAATGATATACATAGTTTAATGCAGTTTCTAATACTTGATTTTCATCTTCATATAATAGTGCCATATACTTCAGAAATTCGAATATTTATTGTTATAGTATTCATAGCTTTAANCTTTAATATTACAGTGTAGAAATAAAAGAAATAATGAATTATTAACAAATGTAAAAATTATTCGTTCTTTAAATTATAAAGTAGCTTATGTACTAGCCTGTTGTATGTACATAGAATTGGTTGTGAGTTATTAATATCGACTAGTTAATTATTTCTAATTATATTAAAAAAGCTCATGAAAAAATATAAAATAGGATATTACAAAATGATATACATAGTTTAATGCAGTTTCTAATACTTGATTTTCATCTTCATATAATAGTGCCATATACTTCAGAAATTCGAATATTTATTGTTATAGTATTCATAGCTTTAAGTTACAACTACAATAATCACAGCTTCTATAAAAATAAATAAGATTAAAAGAATTAAATGACTCAAGTCATTTATGTTAACAGTCATGTTTGAATAATCTAAAAGAGATTTCCCTGAGCGCTCTATTTGCGTCGTTTGTAATATGATATATTCTCCAATCAATTATCTTGAAAATGATATTATTTGGTTGTCCCATGTGAGATATTCGATCTCTAATAGTAATTCCAAACCATAGTTTCCCGTCGTGGCCGTTAACGGCAACCGGTGGGCGATGAGGCGCTGATCAAAGGATGTTAAAACTGTTTCCATATTTAACTTTCTATTTAAAGCTTTCAGCTTTATTGTCAATTGAATTTTGTTAGATTGAAAAAACTAAACGTGTAAAAACACTTGGTAATAAAGACAGTTCACAAAAGAAAAATATTTCACGATTTATCAATATCGTCTATTAATAAACAGAGCTTATGTTGTTCGATGGAAATATTATACGTGGAGTCTCAAAAATGTTGTAAATCTTTGAAGTGGGTGATTCCTGAGATTATTTCAAGAAACTTTTTCCTTAGTGAAAATGTTGTTCGCGGCTTCGTTAAAAAGTTATTAACGAAAAACACGGCCAATCAGTATGCGACGAACTGCACCAGCACTCTAAATGCTCTGTATTTTTTGCTAATAATTCGTTAACAAAGCCATAACGAACATTTTTGCTAAAGAAAAAGTTTTTTAAAATCACTTCAGGAACCATCCCTTTCAAGGGCTTGTAACATTTTCGGCACAGACTGTATGTTTATAACATAACATCGAAAAACACTAACTTTACAGTTATTTATACTGTATGTTAAGAAGATAACACACCGTAATAATATTTTTTTAACTTAATTAACAAGTCCAATAACGACAATGTTTCTAAGTTTATATTAATTTTTTAAATTTTGTCGACACTTTCGAAATATATAATTGTGCATTTCGGCTTTTTTGAAACCTGTAGAATCATGTTTCGCAACTTTTCATTTTCACGAAAATCCATTGTTCTCTCGCAACGACGAAACAGATCGCCAGAAAATGACTTTTTGGAACGATATTACGAGATCGAACATTTCGAGTGTAGCAATCTAATGCTTGTGTCGAGTTACTTTTCTGAAGGTGATGAAAAATAATAATTATAGTAATGCACGGTTAAATTTACATATATTCAGGAGACAGCATATAAATTTAAACATACGGGACACATTAACCATTCAAGAACTGATTCGAGCACAACTCGACAAAGTACAAAAATAGATATAACGTGCGAAGTAAATTTCATTTGTAGTCATTTTCGTTTTAGCTTTATAATTGTAGCCGCAATGGATAGCTGAGATTTTTCCGATTAAAATGAATCGAAACACGATGTAATAGTTTCAGCTATTCTCGGATTATAAACAATCTACAAGGTGGGTCGCGTAACTTGCACATTACAAATAACTTTTAAATTATGCTTTTTATGGGAAATTGTTAAATACGTGGTTTCTAAGATGAGTAGAGGTTCTTTCATGTAGTGAGATTTCCAAGTTTCGAAGATCAGATAATTTTAAGTTATTTTAGGTATGCAAGTTACGTGACTCGCCCTGTATAATAATACAGTAATACAGTTATTGGCAAAGGCAATCAGATTTACGTCGTGTTTGGATTCATTTTAATTAGAGGAATCTCAGCTACGCATTGGTATTATTATTACAAAAAGGAAACGAAAATTACTGAACATGAAATTTTCCTTTTTGCATATTTACTTTGTCCAGTCGCGGCATCCTGTTGATGCCGCCCCTTTCTTTTCACTATAGTCATTCTCTCTATCTTTGACTACTGAGATAACGCCTCACTTAATACGAGGGACTGAAATAGGACAAGAGTTTAGTTAGGTCATGTAAATTTAACCGTACAACCCTCTAAATCTAATTGATTGGTAATCAGTGTTCAAACAAGAATGCAAGACTTCAATGATGTAGCATTTTGGTAACGTTGTCTTGAAGGAACTATTATAATAGTTTAAAACCTTTTCATGAAAAGACTTTGCAATAGCAGCAATGAGTTACTACATATGAAAGATTAACACATTGTTATTATAAAAACTTATTTCGAACATGCGGACAATTAATATGTAAACAATTTATGGGATGCCTGAAATACGAATATCAAATAATTTGTAGTTGTTTGTGATGTTGTATTATACAACTTTTTTCATATTTACAACCATTTTTGACATGTAGCGTTAATATATTTGTTCCTCTTACAAATACACATATTGAATTGTTTAAATTAACATACCATTTCTTTCAAACAGTAGTATGTAAA